TTTAAGAGCAACAAAACCATCTTTCCCCTGCCTCTTATGTTTCAGATAATGGATAGATTCAAAAGCCACCATAACATTATCTACAATTGATCTACCAGGTACAAACGCACTTTGATTTGTAGAGACCAACTTTTCCAAAACACATTTTAGTCTATTTGCAAGTACTTTGGCAAATTTTTTTAATAAAACATTGCAAAGCGCAATAGGCCGCCAATCGCTTAAAGACTCCGACTTACCTTTCTTCGGCATTAGGACTAAATTAGTTTGGTTCACCTCCGTTGGTATCCCCCTCCTGTGAATAGGTGCTGACAAAATTTTACAATGTCCTCCCCCATAATGTCCCAATAATGCTGATAAAAACCCGGATTAAAGCCATCCGGCCCTGGAGCTTTCTCGGGATGCATAGAAAAAACCGCCCTTTTCACTTCAAGAGCAATAACTGGTCTTAGAAGATTTTGGTCTTGACTTGCATAGACTCGTGCTATGCCATCTAGGTACCCATCTTCAATGTTGGTACTAGTGGAATCAAATATCTCAGAGAAATAGTCATAAACCATTGCTCTTAATTTATCTCTATTCTTTTCCCATTTGCCATTGGGAAGTAGAAGCCCTTTCAACTGATTCTGCCGCCTCATTTGCTTTACCGTATTGTGATTTTTTTTTTATTTTTGTCGCCCTCCTTAAGCCAAAACTCCTTAGCCCACTGTCTCCAAAATGTGTTTTGTTTCTGCAGTAAATCTAATAACACATCTTTCACCCTCTGGAATTCAAGACCATTCCACTTCCCCCTTTCGCCTGCAAAGCCGCCAACATGTTTTTGCAAACTTCAATTCGAGTCTGAAAACCAACACACCGAGACCTGCTCCAACAATCAAGCTCAACACCACACCCTTTTATCCTCTGCCAAACATACAAGCTTTGGGAATTCAACCAAGTACGTTGTATGATTTCTCTGCATTGATCATCTTTGAACCACATATTTTCAAACTTGAAAGAGCGTATTCTCCGACTCCTGCCTTCCTTAGCTGGTCTTACATACAACATGAGGTGATCACTGGATGGGCCCTCTAGCGAACTAGCTTGATAACCAGAGAACAACGATAGCCAGTCTTCGTTTGCCAGCACTCGGTCCAGCTTTTCCTCAATCCAACGTGGAGTTCCTTTGCACCTTTCCCAGGTCCATTGATAACCCTCAGAAGCAACATTTTTAAGTCCACTGCTCCAGAGTGCTTCCCTAAATCCCCTGATTAACCAGTGAGGTTGAGGAGTTCTTCTTCTCCTCTCGCTTTCAAACAAGATGTCGTTAAAAGTCTCCCATGAGAAGCCAAGGTTTCCCAGAACTCTGAGATAGACGCTTAATCAGCTCCCAAGACTCACGCCTCCTGCTGCGTTTAGGGTATCCGCAGTATCCCGTGAACCTCCATTGAGGGTCGTCCAGTTCCAGTTTAACTAAGCAGTCGATGAAGTTGCTTTCAAATCCCATAATTTCGATCGCAATGCTCTCACGCCACATAATACAGAGCCCCCAGCTCAGACCATTGCTATCAACTGCAAAACAGTGCTGAAAGCCTAATTGGCTTCAAATTTCTTCACACCTCTGTTTTGAAGTCTTCGTTTCCATCAAAATAAGAATTCCTAGCCTTTTGGACTGAATCACATCGATTAGCACTTGCACGGTAGCCAAATTACCTAAGCCACGGCAATTCCAGCTAACCACCGTCATGTCTCCTTTCCTCTAACCACTCCTGCCAATCCCAACCTGCTCGAGAACCCTGCGGCCCTGATGGATACTCTTCGCCTACACCTGACTGCATAAAAACAAAACGCCGAGCGATTGGGAAGTCGCCGGCCCCAAAACTAAGTGCAGACTATTACCCTAGCTGCGGCGTGGAGTACGCAGAAGGCACATGATTTTAATCTGAGGAACATGATAAACCCATTTTAAATGGAGAGGCCTTGATACAATGGATAATGACACATTACCAACAGTAGCAACCAATAAATTAGACCCATTAGCAACTATGACAGAAAGTGATCCGGAAGAAGAGAATTTATTAGACAAAATACCTTCGTGAGGGGTTATATGAGCACATGCACCGGAGTCAGGAAACCATACGGCCGATGTGGATTCACCAGTAGACACGGCTAGAGCAGGATTGGATGCTTGAACAAAACGGGATGAACGAGTAACACCAGAATGACCTGGAGAATGACAAATTTGGCAGACAATCGGAGGAGGAACAATACCAAAGCTATGCTCAAAAGATGGGGAGCCTGCAGATACATAATTCGTAACAGAAGTAGATAAAACATAACTAGTATAATACTGTGACTCAATGGAATTACCTACAACTGTACCTGACTGTCCCGGAGACTGAGATGGGTGCCCGACATACTGTCCATAGGGTGAGGGTGGATAAAAGCCATATGCCGGAGGAGGTCCGTCGCACCATCCACCACCAAAGGGAGGAGGCTGGCCATAGTTCCGTCCGCCACGACCACGACCTCCCCGACCACGCTGTCCGCGTCGGCCACCGCGGCCTCCCTGGCCGTACTGCATCTGCTGGGGCGGTGCTCCTCTAGGCGTTGCGGCAGGTTGTGGGGCAGCGGGTTGAGGTGCAGCGAACGCCGGGGATCCCATGCTTTGTTCTCGACGTCTTTGAAACAGCAACCATTGTTCTTGGTGAACCAACTTCATGAATAAATTCTCAAAAGTAAGACCCTCCGAGAACAAAATGAGTGGAGTAACAACAGATTGATAATCAGGGCCCAAACCAATGAGAGTTTGCTCTAGTAAATCTTTCATGGGAACTGGGGAATTTATGGCAGCCAGGGCATCAATAATATTTCTAATTTCTCGGAGATATTGTTCCATGGATTGGGATTCCTTTTTACGCAAAGTAGTGAGCATTGCTTTAAGCTCCATGGAACGGGCTAAACTAGCGGACATAAAACGAGATTCCAGATGATCCCAAATCGGACGAGCATGTTTAATAGTATGCACCTTTACCAAAACATCACGGGAAAGCGTAGCAAAAATCCAAGAACGTACAGTTTGATCCAATTTGAACTAGTGACAATATTCATTATTCATAACTTGACATTTTTGAATGTTCATCACATGCATGTGAGTGGTCACAATTGTTCCATCCAAAATACCAAGTAAACTATGAGATACCAAAAAGGATTCAAACTGCGAACGCCAGGGTAAATAATCTTCCACCGCATTTAACTTTGTAGTAACTATATTCGTGACGTTCATGGCAGAAAAACCCAAGGATTGAGATAGGGCTGCCAAGGAAGAAGTGCTGGATAAGGATGTTTTTACTTGGACTGTAATTTGCTGGTCTGGTCTGGTCTGAACTTGTATGGTCTGGTCTGGTCTGGTTTCTTTGTATTTTTCTAACTATCCAAGTCTGGTCTGGTCTGAACTGGTCTGGTCTGGTCTGATCTGGTCTGGGAGGAATTACAGTCCAAGTAAAAACATTCTAATACCTAATTCCAGGTGCCAATAGGAGGGATTTATGGAATGGCAGATAGCCCTGGAGAGCCGATAAGCGTGGAGCCGCCGAAAGATCTTCCTTGAGCGGCAGAAAAAATTGAGGCAACCGCTTCAAAATGTTGTCCGTCTGTGCAGGAGTGCGACGAGACCGGTGGGAGAGATGGAATTACCGGAGTCGTCAGAGACCACGTAAAAATGGGCGGAACCCGATTTCCAAATGTTAAAGGGGGAACTGTGGAAAGAGCCGGCGACCTGGAGAAGGATTGGGCGTACATCTCGCTCTGCGTCGGGCTGGGAACAAACATCGCAGCAGTGGGCGCAACCATGTTGGTCGATGATGCTGCGACAGTCGACATGTGAGCGGAAAAATAAAAATTAACCCTAAGGCTCAGTTACCATGTGAGAATAATATGGAAGCGTACCCAGAATGGTAGCCTCGGGAGTATTATTTATAATAAAAGAGTCCAAGATACATCAAGATTCATACTATAATTAGATGACCTAATTAATATTAATAAATACATTATTAGTTACTCTCGGTAGCATCTCAAAAAAGATCTTTTATTTTTTGAAAAACTCTTAAAAATTCTCATGTCAAATATACAACTAGAAACTTTTAGAGACTTTTTAAACCGTATAAAATCTAGAAGACAGAGACTTATATCTGCCAAACATGCATTGTATGCTGGGTTGATTAAAATAGCGGGTATGTTGGATCATTAAAGACAAGCGAAAACCTAACCTTTCATTAAGTGCCCATTTGACGGCAATTGTTTCAACTTATCGGCTTTAGTAATCAACTTCTTTGTTAAGCATGTAAAATTTGATGTCGCACGTTAATCAAAATATATTCTGGTATAATTGATAGAAATTGGTGAAGCTGAATATTTTAGTTATTTTTACCTATTTTTATTTTATTGATAAAATATGTTTTAAGTATAGTTTTTCATACTTTTTCGGATCCAACCGTTTCATTCAGAGCTTCACCACTTTCAACGCACTCAAAGGATTCAGTCAATTTTAAAATTATCAAACAAACTTTAAGCTTTTAAAGTTCTATGCCAAATGAGTAAATGACATCCTCAAAAGGAACATCTAAAATAAGTAATCCAAATACGAGTATCAAATTGGGGCAGATGATGTATTTTATTACGTGTGGAAAATTATTATTATCCCTCGAGGTTATGTCACAAATTACTCAAGCAATCTTGTATTTTAAAAAATTAATTAGTTACCCATAAATTGTAATCACACTCATAGTTTACCCCTCATGTTAATATTTATCTAATTAAACTTCACATAGCTTGGGTCAATAAACGATTTAAAAATGATTTCTTTTAAAAATATTACTAAAATGAAATTTATTCAAATAAAAATGATTAATAGTTAATATCATAATAATATAAATTTAAAAATTAAACACAAATTATTTTCTAAAATGAATTATGATTTGATCAAATTTCAAATCTTCAAGCATAATTTCCCCCGAGTTTGGCTGCGGTTCAAGATAAAAATGTCAATAGCCGGAATCCTGGAGGCGTCAATTTCTAGGCGAATCGGCGATTTAAACATTATGGAATTACAGGAGTGCCACCAGCCTTCACCTAACACCCTACTGCTGCCATGATCTTATTCAGCTTCCTCCGTCACCTACAAGGAAAGAATCAACTGGATTCCGTAATAGTCTAGCACATATATACGAATTACGTACATCTAAACCCATACGTAGCAATACATTAATCAGCATTTTCTCTGATCTGCTATTTTCTTTTTCCGAAATGCTCAACTCCGAGAATTGGTTTCGGAATGTGAGTCCCCTATATCCCGGCGAAGTTCAATTCTCAACCAGCGCTTCTGCGAATTCGATCGGAGTGTTTAATGGAGGAGGGTTGTTTTTAGAAGATTCAGTTCCGGCTTCGTTCGTATCGTTTGTCACCAAGCGGAGCTCTTCAGCGTCAACGTCTAATACCGTTTCGTTTGCCGCTTGGTGCGATCGCTTGAGATTGATAGGCGTGGAGCTTTGCCAGAAGGGAGGGAGAGAGGTGTTCTTGTCCGTGTCTTTGACGGTGAATGGAGGGAACGGGGGTGTTGGTGAGGAGTCGAGCGAGGTTTTGGAGCGGGGCAGGGAGAATGACTTGAATTGTGAAGTGGATGTATTTCGGCAGGCTGAGGAGGAGAAGCCTAGGGTTCGTAGTGGAGGTCAGCGCGCTTTGAACGTTACCAAACATCTCTGGGCTGGAGCTTTTGCTGCCATGGTCTCTAGGTAATAGTTTCAAGTTTCAACATCACCCATAAATAAATTTGTTGGTCGTTAGACGATAACACTATATTAGTGCTATTTCAATTGCAAATGGAATTGAAAGTTAACCAATAAAGTTACCGATTTTCTAATTGATGCTCTGGTACAGTGGTATTTATGCTAAACTCTCACATTCTGCAGTGTCATAATGTGCCCTGGACTCTTGCATCTTATTTTCTGTTGTCAGAGTTCAATGTTTTATCTCCTTCATCTGTCAATAACTTATTGGTCATGTAATATGAGGAGGGGAAGGCTGCCTGAGTGCGGCAAAGTAAAATGTGCGTGTCTAAGGCTCCATTTTGGTTATGTTTGGTATGATGTTAAGAACCATGTAGTATGATAAGTATTTCATTTCATTTCATTTACCCCAGTGCCGCAAAGGCTCCCACCTATGGTAGGGTAAGGGGTTGGATGTATGCAGTCTTACCCCTGTACTAAAGCACAGAGAGACTGTTTCCGGATGACCCATAGTGAAAATCGCGTCCAAAATTGCATGGACTTACTGTTGTTCCATAATAAAGAAGTGCAGACAGTTTAATGAGCCATTTTGCTTTATTCCGTCATAATCTCAAGAGTCAAGACAGTTTAGTATGATAAGTATTAATGAATTGAATTACATGTATTCCTTTTCTTAAGAATTTGTAATCAACTCTACATCCAAAAATGTATGGAGTAACAATTACACCCCAAATTGATCATCGGGCGTTTGCAATTTTTCGAAGAGGATGACACCCAACATTAAAAACCGTCTCTACTCTGTACTATGCCACATAAGTATACAATGTACTTGTCTTTAGGTTGAACTTTGCATTTTTTCGAATAGGATGACACCCTACACAAAAAACAGGCTTTACTCGTTACTATGGAAGAGAAGCAGTACACATAATCCTTCATCTGGAATATTGTAAAGACCTTTTTATTCTTGTGTTGGTCAGAACCTTTGTTGCACCTTTAGAGAGACTAAAGTTGGAGTACATGGTCCGTGGTGAGCAGAAGAAGCTTTTTGATCTCATTGGGACAATTGCAGCTAGTCAAGGGATTAAGGGATTTTGGAAAGGGAATTTTGTCAATATTTTGAGAACTGCTCCTTTTAAAGCTATCAACTTCTATTCCTATGAAAAATATAAAGATCTGCTGGTCAAAGACTCTGGACATCGAGAAGCAAATAACTTTGAGATGTTTGTTGCTGGGGCAGCTGCTGGAATAACTGCTACTGTGCTCTGCATACCTATGGACACTGTGAGTATTTTATTTAGACCCCGGTTGAATTATCTGATTACTAGTGGGCGTTTAGCTTGGGTAATCTGAGATTACTTTGGGTGGTAGGATTTAGGAATATAATGCACAGTTACCTTTTCGAGTTAAAATATTCATAGTGTGGTAATATGTGATTACCTTGTTGGATTTGGGTTTTCACATCATCAGATCAGATCACTTAGAAAATAAGGTAATCATGGAGGTAATCAGATTACCTTGGATTTCACAGGTATCATATGATAACAGTCAATAAAATTCCATTCCTTCCCTTAAATCAAGTTTTATTGTATAGTTGATGAAAATGAAATTTATTAATATTACATTTTTATTATCCCTACCAAATACAATTACCTATGCAATCCTATTGTCTAGTTAATCGTACATTTCCGTAACTTAGAATCCCTACTCGAAGGTATTCAGATTGACTGAAGTAATCTTACATTCCATGAACGAAATACCATAGAACTAGAATATCCAAGGGTTTATTCTTTATCACAATAAAATTAGGAGGCTTATACCTGAATAGAACATAACTTTTAGTTTTCTTTGTTACTTTCTGGTCTTCAGTTCAAAATCTATCCTACCCATAAGCCATGTAAAAGAAGAAAATAGGCGGAATTAATTTTCTTCTCATTTACCGAACTTAAATGGGTACAGAGTGAATCCTGGAAATCCTGGGAATTAATTGATTCCCTAGAATAAAAGGATCTACAATATCAAAAAGATAATCTACCTTAAATACAATTCTAATCAAGACAAGAGATAATTCTACAATTAATTACAATTACTATGCGCCTAAAATAGATGATTCTGTCCAATAACCTAAAATAGATTATTCTGTCCAACACCATGTATAATGCTAGTTATGGAATTGTTGAGCAGCCTTCTATCATAGTCCGTATCTTAGTGACCTAGTTTGACACAAGAGTTTTGAAAAAATGACCCCTTGATGTCTTGACAAACTGCTGTTTATTCAAATTTTGTCTGACAGTCTAACTGATGTTTCTGTTCAGTACTCCATCAACTTTTTATTACTCGTGTCTTATTACTTTTTGGAAAGTGTATTATTTGATCCATTTTCACTTTTGGTAACTTCTACCTTGCTTTTCATATTCTTCTTGTTGTCCTTCATTTCATTCTCTTTCCTACTTTGTCTAATTTTCCTCCTTTTCACACACTTTTCAACATTGTTCCTTACCATCACTACTTTTCTTAATATACATGAAGGATCTATATGGATATATCTTAAAAACCTATAGGGGCATCTGATAAAAATGGGAGGGAGTAGTAATTTTTGGTCCTCATAAGTCATAACAAATTATCATCAATTACACCGAATTTTCAACTACGAATATGTGAAACCAAACAACTGTGCCTTGAAATCTCTGTTTTGCTTTTGGTTTATATTCCAATTTGTATTATTTGTCTTTACATATTTACCCTTGCGTTGGATGTAATATATTTGAGATTGATAAGTAGATAACCAAATTTTGTAAAACGGTAACGCTCGATTTTAATAAGTTTTCTGAAATTGTGTATTTCGTAATTGAGGCAGTTTGTAGGAGTTGCGTTTGCGTAAGCATTATTATGCAATTAGGTTGAAGCCTCAATTGTTAATACGAATATAAAATTTTGCAAATAATATAATAATACAATATTTGAAATTTAACAAATTTGTAGTCAAAATGTAAAATAATTGGGTCATAACCTCATTGAAACAGTTAGTTCAAAAGAAATGTTCTTAAATAGGAGTTAAAACTAGGTGGTTTTCCTAAACACGAGGACTGTATTTTTTTCCTGAATATGAATAATCATCTTCAAACAATACTGCCATATTGTGGCATTACTACCGCCATATTAGTGTTGGATTATGTCTTAATATGACATATTGATTTCAGGATATATCATATATGGCAGGATTGTACACTTATTTTAAGAAAAAGAACATATTGCACCTACTCAGGGAAAACAATTCAAAGTTGAAGGATCCCATTATAGCAGATATTGCCTAATCCCATTACTGTTTAAAACTTATGACATTAAGGAATGAAAGTAGGGTCACTAACATCAAACAAAATATCACACATTATGAATGGGGGGAAAATAAAAAATAGAAAATAGAGATTAAAGACTTGCAGAAGAGGAGTTGTAGGAGACTAGTGTAAAGAATGACTATCGAAGAATTGATGTGAAGAGTTGAGAAATTTTAAAAGAATAAAGGATATTTTTTAGAGTGCACAACTTATTTAATTAAAATTTAAAAATCCAATGGTGTACGCCACATTGTGTAATTTGGGAGTCGCTTGCGCCAAACTGTCTAAAGGCAGACCTCAAGGTGTAAAGGTGTTGTGCAATTACGAGTATTGCATACAACCATCTGAGATTTGAAAGAGTAGTTTTTCTTAAACACTACACTGACTACAGTATAATTTAGATCATCCTATACCATAACATATTGTAATTGATTTTTCAATAAATTCAATGAAATTTCAGTGGGAGACCAAGAGTAAACATATTCTGTGTTATAAATAGTCAAATTTAGTTTATGGCCTTGCATGTATTTCAGGTCAGGACAGTAATGGTAGCACATGGAGGGGAATCCATGGGAGGCATAATTGGTGCTTTCCGCTATATGATCCAAACCGAAGGATTCTTCTCCCTATACAAAGGGCTACTCCCTTCTATCATAAGCATGGCACCCTCAGGTGCAGTTTTCTATGGGGTTTATGATATTCTGAAATCGACTTATTTGCACTCAGAAGAAGGGAGGAAGCGGCTTCAGAACATGAAAGAACATGGCGAAGAACTAAATGCTATGGAAAAAATGCAGATGGGTCCCATTAGAACTTTGATGTATGGGGCCATTGCTGGTTGTTGCTCTGAAGCTGCAACATACCCTTTTGAAGTTGTGAGAAGACAGCTTCAGATGCAGACCAGTGCTAGTAAGATGGGTGCATTGGCAACTTATGAGAAAATCTTGAAGCAAGGTGGCGTTCAGGCTCTTTACGCTGGACTAACTCCCAGCTTATTGCAGGTAAAAATCACATCACTCGTTTTGCCTGATACCTACATCATCCGATACTCTGTTTTCCCATTTTGTGTGTTCTACTCTAGCAGTGTGACAAGATTAAAGATATTCATATTCAGTTAACATTTATTCTGATTCACATAACTGAAATATAAACAACTATTTTGTCACAAACATTATATAGTAGTGGCATGGCTCTTTTGAGCCCAGCTTTTAGCTTCATGTTGGCATATCAGATTAATCAACTAGTTTTGAACAAACACGAAATTATTTTACTGCGCTGATCGAATTAGCTCATACTGATTTTTTATTATTTCAGAAACTATTAGTTTTAACTTTTAATTTCTTTTGACAATTGGAGCATTTCAAGTTTCAACCCACAACTGAGCCAGCCATTTAAGGCCTTACCTAATTAGCTCTTTACTATAACCCATTAGTATTTTAGGAAAAGGAATATTATGTAATTAGGACATTAAAGGCTAAAGAAGAGAATGACTTCGATAAAACATGAAATATCTTAATATAGTTCCAAAGAAAGTATTGTAATTGTCAGGTGGGAGAAATTGTATTGGCTCAGAAATATAGTCCTAACCTGGAAGTTTGCAACAACTTTCACTCTAATTCACCCGCTTTCCTATCTATTCTTCAGGTTTTACCCTCAGCTGCTATAAGCTTCCTTACGTACGAGTTCATGAAGATAGTTCTCAAAGTGCAGTAGTAAGAAGGGAAGTAAACAAACAGGTTTGAGCTTAGTCCTGGATTGGTAGGCGCATTACTTACCAAATGGAAGGTTTTTTGCAGCATCATTAGCTTATATAGAGTGTAGGGGTGGACTAGCTGGTCCGGTTCTGATCCTCGGTCAAAATTATGTGCAAATGTAACCAAGACTAAAACGTGCTATCAGGCCGGTTCCGGTCCGTTCCTGTTTTCTCTTTTTCATTTTAATTATTACAACTATTATATTGCAGTTTTGAAAACAAAAGTAAAAAAATATTATTATTTTAAAGATAAAGATATTACAAATGTAATAAAAGCTAACTTATGGAATCATGTAAACAAATTAAATAAAGACATAATTATGCAAGAAAAAATGGCTTACACTTCAGTTAAACCTGCCTATCTAACTTTATAGTGATAGAGAAATCAAACCTATCATAGTTCTTTACTTTTGTTACACAATTCTTATCATTAATAATACTACCTCCGTCCCCTATGATTGGGACAAGAGGGAGTGGTACAGTTATTAGGAAAAGTTGAGTTGTGTGGTTAGTATTGAATTGGTAAAGCGTAAATAAAGTAAAAGAATGAATTCCATTCACTCAAATACTGTCAAATATGATATGAGACAAACTTAGTGGGACGAGTCAAAAAAATAAAATGTGACAGATAGAGGGATGAAGGAAATAGTCAAGTAGTAGAGCACTCTTCATTGGAACTTTCAAACTTAACATCGGTCTTGATTTCGTCCATGAAATAAAAGTTTGCATGCTTTAATATACTCCGTACTATAACAATTATACAGTAATACAATAATCGTAAAGGAACAAATGAAGAATAATGATTTAGGAAAGTGTATAGATGGAATAATAGATGAAGATGATAGAATATGAGTGTAAGTTAGATAGTTGGAAGTGTGGGAAACATGACAGAATGAGAGGCATTTGTAGGATTTTCTCTACCTTGAACAGTCAAAGTAGCTGTTGAAGAGGCCCCGAGGCCCCGATGCTCCCACAATTGTCTGTTGTGGGAAAACAAATGTAGCTGTTGTGACTGGAACCGATATGTCCAGTCCCCAAAATCCAGACCCAAGACCGACCATGTCCTCTTTTTGCCCGGCCACGGTCCCAACTCAAAACTTTCAGGCCGATTCTAACTAAAGAACTTGTTAGTCTCAGTCTAGTCTTGAGATCGTGTTCACCCCTAATAGAGAGGATGCTGCATAAATGTGCATTCCATGTGGTGTAATGCCATAGTGGTGTTGTAGAATATTATAGATAACGTTTTTTAAGAGCACTATAAACGTTCAGTCCATTATAAATGTCACAAAATTGCAAAGATTGGGGTAAAGTATAGGGATTTGCGGGGCCTTGTAGATTGTTCACTCATTAGCGTTGTGTTTTTGTTTCTTTCATCATCATTTTGTACTCTTCTTAATTAAATTTAATAAATTTCTGTTTAAAAAAATGTAAAATCATTTGCAATTTCCACAAAAAAAACAATGAGAAAGTGAGCCAAATAGGATTAGGAAATAGGATTAAGACATGGTAAAAGTGTAAAAATAAGAATATGATTTTTCTGTGTCATCTATAGGATTAAAAGTGATAGTACAACAATAATCACAACATCTAAGTTAGTCCCAAAAGAGTTTGGGGTCGGCTAGAATGAATGTAGGATCAATTTACCCCTTATTACAAGCTTCCAGGTGGATCACCCATCCTTGAGATTTCTTGCCACCGAGCTTGCTTAACTACAAAGATCTATGGCTGAATAGCAGTCACATTCTTCTTAAACCCAATTGGTTACCAGGAGGTGGACTTACTCTATTTAACAAATTACTCTGTAATGACCAAGTCAAAGTAGATTCATGCGGGACACCCCCACAATTCACTACAACCGTGGAAAGCTCCATTACTGAGCGGTGTATGGAAATGAGGAGCGACACACATCATGGTGCCAGCATGTCGGGCCTAATCAAAGATTAGACACCGATTCAAAGGGTGATGTGGATCCCCACAGGACAAACAATTAAAAACATTTCAGATCGAATTGAATGTCATTCTCAAACAAGAATGCCATCCTGAGAGTGAATGCCAAAAATGGCCTTCTTCAAAAAACTTATGCATACTTTCAACCTAGCGAGAATATCATTTTGGAACAAGAATTCCGCCGTAATGGTGTTATATTGTCATTATCATGCTTAATAACAAAAAATCAAGTCAATTTGTCATCATCAAACAATAATGTCTTCTTGACAACAAAATTCATACTCCCTCCATATTTTAAAAGTTCCTTACACTTCCATTTTTGGTAATTTTTCCCTACACTTCAATTTTCAGAATCTCATTCATAAAGGTTAATAGTTCGCACGTTGTGTTAGCTCAAGTGTGTTACAGTTAGGGATGGACTAGGCCGGTTCAGACCATCCCGGTACCCGGCCTGGACCGCTACTGTGCGGTACCGGCCCGGCCCGGCCCGGCCGACCAGGACCAGGACTGGGCTTTGGGGCCTGAACCGGGGGTCAAATGGGGCGGGCTTCGGGGCATCTTCGGGACAATTCTTCCAATCAACAGGGTCATGGTGATCATTTAGTTCGCTAGTTTCTGCACAGTTACAAATCGCTGACATTTTAACAACAGTTTTATCCAGATTTTCATTTTGAATTCTAAATTGCCTGTATTTATTCATCCCCTTTTATCATTCAAAAGTCTTCATTGATATTCAAAAACAAGTCTTCATTGTAGAGTAGAAATTGGAAGGGATGCTAAACTTGATACTTAGTATTATACGAAGTATATCCAAGCATACAGAAGTAAACACAACTCTTATCGTCTCCTCCAAAAATGAAAAGCCATCATTTGAGTTTATATACTAAAGAAATATAGTATAAACACATTTAAAAATAATAATCTTTTACTGTTTTTGAATAGCCTGGATTTGGGATTCTGGGTATAAGCTATACAGCGTACCACACACAAGCTCTATCTTTGCAATGGATACCTTTCCTCTTTTCAAGCTTTTTTGACTTCACATATTTGAAATACTACGTATTTAATAAAAATAAACTAGTACAAGAGAGTTTGAAGCATTTATAAGTCGAGAAATTTGTATAAGAAGTTTTTATGGACTGTAAACACCAGTGTTTTATGAGTTCTTGGGTTAAACCGTTTTCCAAATCTTTACCCCCTCAAAACAGTCTATGGGATTCTCCATAAACAAAAGAAATAAATCCTTCTGATAAATAATAAAAAATAAATCGGGTGCATCTGATTTGATATCTAGTCTTCTAAACACGTCCCGAAATAATCGTCCTGGTTTGACCTTCACACAGATTAAGAAGGTGAAGTTGACTTCAGACTGTAGCGACACTGTTTGGCACTGTAGTGACACTGTTTGGCACTGTTTGACATTGTTTTGCACTGTTTTACACCGTTTTGTATAGATTTATTTACCAAATAAGGAAAAGAGACAATTATTTCGAGACGGATCGAAAAGGAAAGCAAGACAATTATTTCGGGACGGATGGAGTATCATTTTTGTCAAATATTCCAGATACTTCTCCAACCACAAAAATGTACTATACCTTATATAATGATAAAGATTGCATCTAGTTGATCCAAAAGTGGATATGCTCACACTTTTTATTGGAAACACTTGTGAATGCTACACACAAAGAGACCTTAAGAAAACATTTTCCAAACATATTAATATTTTGTTTACGTTTTCTTACATTTTATATCTGTTTAATTGAGATTAGGCATTTTTTAGATACGGTGGACCACATTTCAGAGAATCAGTGGTTATGGGTAACCACACTATTATCCAATCCACTTGAATAAAGCCGATAATTGTAATAAAGAGGAGTACTAATTATCAATAATTGTTAAGTCAAAATTTGATTTCCCTTGTAACTTCTAATCGATTTTCATTTTGCTTCTGCTATCACTACAATTATACGTATTACTGTTTCGATTTTTTTTTAATAACTGAATTAACATCCAAGTCAAAACTTATAAGTTCTAACTTCAAACCCGGCCAACCTTTTCTAAGGAAAAGTGAGAATTGACACTAAAAACGAAAATAGAACAAACATGAACTTTTTATTTGAAACTGTAACTTGTTTTAAGGAAGAATGACTGAAGACTGTTAAAATTAGCTAGACTTATACTACTATATATAATTATATACTAACGAATCAGTTCCCTTTTACCCTTCGGGCAATCGAAGACTGTTATTTAGATCCAATGCATAAACAATAAAACAAATAACTAAGTACTAAGGTAAATATGTATATACAGAACCCATATTATAACTCAGAAGCTAGCTAGCAGGCCCTTCCAAACGGATATAGTCATATATGACTCCATTGAACCGATACCCTCCTCTGGCTTGTCTCAAATAAATTGCGTTATCTCCATTAACGAGTTCACTTCCTGGAAATTCATAACTAGCCAGTGTATACCATCCATGAATTCCATGTCTCGCTATGGCATTGTCTCTTCCACCTCCTCCATTTGTTGAGAATTTTGGACGTTGACTTGGATCGTTGACCAAAACCTATGTGCACACCATGAAGAATGCATCTCATCATTTGATGTTTCTTACTCATAAAAAGTAAATGAATGAATAAACAAATAAGTAATGCTTACCTCAATTCTGGCTAAGTTGGTAGCAGCTAATGCAATCCTGAGGGTGTAGGTTCCCGTCGGGTCAACGTTTTGCAGCGGCAATGAAATTTTCCATGTTGTTGGTTCATATGTGTCGTCCCCAACTTTCCTGCATTGTGTGATATAAAAGGCAAAATTCATAAGGAGTCCTATTTGTTTAAAAATAATTTAGACAATTATAAATGATCAAAGGTTACTATTGAAGAATGAACCTGTTGACTTGAGCGAAAAACCAATCCTTTCGATAATCACTATCTCCAACTGTGTAGACCAAATCTTGGGAAGGGTATATATCTGCATAACGATCCCATAATCCATATTGCCGAAACCTATACGTTTTTATTTAGTTAGTTTATTAAGATCATACATGTATTTATATATGTGTTCAAAAGCAAGGTAGTGGCATATACTTTTGAGTACTATTGAGCAGAGCATAGTTCTTGAGGTTAGGTGCTGGATCCGGGATGAAGAATTCTGCACCCTTTCTATCGGGAATGCCAATTTCCCATATTGTTGGGCCATTTCTGGGAGGATCAAACTCAAGCTCACCCAAACTTGTATCTTCTCCGGGACTGATTATAATGTCATCACTGTTTCTGTAATCACCTAAGATTCCAGGGGCCCACCCATACAAGTTATAGGTTCCAGATCTTACTGCATTGATCTCAAAATATCCATTATCATCTGTTTGAGTCCAAAATTGATAACCCTATACAACAATGCCCCAAGTTGTAAAACTGTTAGCCACATTCAATTTGTCATTAAATACTAAAGTACTAGTTCAAGAATAAAAGTTGATATTTTTAAGGGTCCAAACCTTGACATCTTGTTGCCAATATCCATCTGCTCCAGGCATAGCAAGACCGACATAAGCAGATTTTGCTGGAATACGGTCTGTACTTAGATACCTAGACATGAGAATATAAATAATTAAGTCAAAGATTTACATTTTTGTAAAAACATGGGAAGTAATTGAAGAAATCAAATTTTAAAAAAATCACCTATCACGGATTAGTAATCGACCAGTAACTCTTCCCCGTTGCCTAGCACTTTGATAATCTTCTGACTTCGGGAAATTGTAAGGCCAACTTTTAGTTTCTTCAACCATCTGATAAGATAGTATATGAGAATATGTCATTACTAATCATACAATCAAAAGGCCGGCCACTTACTTGATGAACAAAACTATTGAAATAACCAATCACAATTTGATTTTCCTAATAAGTAACTTACCTGTCGTTTAGCATCTGCCCAAAGAGATTTCAGATCACTGCCTTCGTTGGAGTTAAGATAAAAAAACACAGGGCCAAAGACCTTTTTCCAGGCTTCACCATTTCGCAAGCTTACAGCATAACTATAGCCCATATAATGCCCACTGAAAAATATCTGAACAAAGAATTTAAAGACAAAATAATGAGTCAGATATTGCAATTTACCAATGCTGAGTTTGTGTCTAGTGGTACTTATTGTAGAGTGTAGACATTAGAAAAGCATTATATTACATACCGATAAGGCAGTTGGACCAACATGAGAGGTTAAATCTTGTTTTATTGGCCCTCCAGAACGGAACTCATCACCACCCGTGATGATCCAAAACCCAACATGTGGTTCCAAAGAGATCCATCCATGTACTTTATTATCCTTATTTTCTTGCGAGTATTGGTACTTATCGTCAACCTAAATAGTGCAATGACACAAATTTATGTTTCATGAGTATATATAGAATGCACACATGTATAAATAGAGCATAATATGAAGCAATCATGTATGTACTAATGTACCTCTCCCTTCATACTAGGATTGGATGGGTTGGTAAGTAAGACAGCTTCTTTATAGTCGAGGGGTTTTCCATTAGACCTATCATCATCACTTGGCATTTCCCTTTGTATGTCATCCGATATTGCCATATAGTTGAACCTGTATGTGTATTAAGAAAATATATTTGGAATTATCTTCTAATATATAAGAATATTCCATTTGAAGAAATTAAAAGATCCCTCTAAAAGTATAACATACAATCTCCTTTGTAGCTTGATAGCAACCCGAGTTTCACCAATATCAACATCAGGCCATCCTTCAAGGTGTTCATAGATTGCATATGTGTAGAAACCGGACTGGCCAGGCAACATTACATACCTACATAAAGGGCTATATGTGCTCACTACATATAAATATGAAGTTCATTGAAGTCAATGATATATGTGTAGTACATACCTTTTGTCGATGTTCAGAGGAACACTAGAAGAATCTCTTGAATCATAGCTTTTTATGAAGGAGACTTCGATTTGATTTTCGTCTGATGTTATTACTTTGAATTCTGTTGCTGGAAGCCTATATTATATTACAGGGCATGCAAATATCAAGGCACATAACAATTATTTCCCACTGGACTACATTCTTAGGTGGGGGAGTTTAGTAACAAACTAACAATTCATCATCATCATTACCCCAGTGCCGCAAAGGCTCCCACCTACGGTAGGGTAAGGGGGTCGGATGTACACAGTCTTACCCCTGTACTAAAGCACAGAGAGACTTTTTTCGGATGACCCATAGTGAAAATCGCGTCAAAAATTGCATGGACTGACTGTTGCTTCATAACAAAGAAGGGCAGACAGTTTAGTGAGCTCATTTGCTTTATTCCATCATATTCCCAATCAGAAAAATAGTGAATTTGGCTCCATTGCAAATGATGGAAAAAGTTCAGGAACATTCGATTAAACAAATTGGCAAAATTTTAAAACTTACATATCAAAGTTTCCATCACCGCCTGGTCGATTCCAAACAATATCCCAATATCTGTATCCAATTCAAGCAACATTGTAGGAATACTCTAATTAAACTCAAATATGATAGTATTTGTCACGATATATACGCAGAACATAATTGTTAGTGTTTTGTCATATTACCCTCTATTCGTTTCTCTATACCCATATTCTAAGAGATTCTGAATGCCATGATATTGAATCTCTGCAATTTCTCCCGTTGGATTCGTCAAAGTCACTTTGATGAAACCATTGTCCATCACAACCTTAAATTCATAAAACAAAAACGAAAAAGCATTTACGTTAAAGGACTCCATGTATTATCATTAAATTAAAAAATTAGCAAACAAGAAAATATAAGAACTTAGTTTGACACAATAACAAATGAAATGATGTTTGCTAATGTGCAAGTCCATTGAGTTCAGATTACATGTGTATTTGTGATGTCAAGCCTCAATGGCGTAGACGATTTTACATCTTGAGTGTAGTTTTCTGGAGTTGACCTGCAAATTCATAGGGAAATATTTTTAATCAATATATACATAGTAAAAAAAAGACGTTGAATTATGATATACAATATTATTGTCCAAAAAAATACGTAGTATTGGCGAAGGAGAAAAAGGTGAGAAGAAAACTATTTTGTTAAACTTGTGCGTTCTATGAGGGGAATTAAATAACGAGCTAGGAAAATGAATCAAATATGGGCTTTCCAATATGTTTTATTTAGTATATGCATATATGTATTATGTTAGGGCATCGTCATTCATTGGTAGATTTGAAGATTAATTAGGTGGTAAGATTGTTTTAAAAATTAGCATTGAGGGAGATATTTTATGTATGAGTAATTTAAAAAGATAATTCAGTATCAAGATTCAAATGCTATATAGTTACTTTAGATTATTGCTAATAAAATATATTTAATGCATCATTGTTGGTGAAGAGTTTTTCGCTTAATATGATTTAAAGATTATTATGCATGTGGCAATAATGTGGTAATTAGATGTGAGAGTATAACAATTAATTAGAAGAGCATGGATGAAGATGAAAAGTTACTGTAAATTACTCCAAATAAGACTAAAACATAGACAAGATGCATTAATAGAAGTGCTTATCTTTTATTCTCAAAATAAGACTTATTAGATGCTATTAAAAGTATAAATCTTTCTCAATTAGGAGTGAATGAATTATGCTTTGGAAAGAAATGAATGATGATTCTATATTTTGTAATTTGCCGATATTGTAAGTTGCAAATCAGTTCAAGCCAGATCAAATTTGAACATACCAGACCAGACTAGACTTCAACAGTCCATATCAGACGTTGATATGGAATGTTCAGACCAGATCACATTTACACAGTCCTATCCAAACTAGACCAGACTAGATTTGAAAAATTCAGTACTAGTAAAGACATCCTAATTAATTCATATAATAAAATTAGAATAAAAATAAAACTTATTGAAAGCATATAGAATTTCGGCATTATGGTATGAGTATACGTTCCTTGCTTCATTCACATATACTATCGTATATACTTCGTACGTACAATATTTCATTAAACAAACCAGGCATCTATGATCTCCGTATACTTGTTAAAGTTCAATTAATTATGTTCTTAAACTCATCAAACAAATTAAACTAAGCATCTAAGCTTCTTAAAAGCAGATTAAACGTCACTGCAGAAGTTAATTTAATGCTCAGAACATATTAACCTTCGATCAATTCATCTATAACGTAACGTATTTTTATTTAGCTGCATATTGTCCATATATGCATGTCTATGGTTCTCAATATTTTATATGCCTTTGCTTCAAGAAGTAATAACGTAAGGAAAAGTGAAAAAAATATACATAAAGTAAATCAAATTCGAACAAATTAACCATTCCGTACGTACCTTATTGCATGAACACGAGAAGAATAAGTTAAGAGGAACAAGCAATAAAAAACAACAAAGGACGACCACATAGGAATAGTAGTTGATCTCGTCTTGCTTGCCATGAACAACAGTGGTATAACCTAAGCAAATTATATTGTTATGTTAATAAAAACTAATTATAGCATTAATCATAGTTATTAGTAATAAACTAATAAAATAAGCATAATGTTAGATAAACTGAAGAAGAAAACTACTCGTAGGTGCAAGGATGAGCTCGTTTGAGATGAAAGGTCTGTAATTAAAAGGTGAGGAGCTAGGCAAGATGGGTATATATATATATTTATAGTTAGATGTTTATTATTAACAGTCCTAATAGGATTTCGTCCTTCACACCGTTCTAATTCCAAAAGCATGCATTCATCGATGAATTATATTTGGATGTTTCCAAATATTAAAACATCTAAAAATAATCTCAATTAAAAGTCCTCATCTTATCCGAAAAGGACACAATTAACCCTCTCTTATTTTAATAATAATTGCCCATTTAAATGTTTTCTTGTGGACTGTTTTCAGTCCTAGACCAGATCAGATTTAAACAATTTAAATCGTACTAGACTTGCATAGTTATAAAATACACACTGATCAAGCATTACCGACGAGTTCAGATTTGAACAAATCAGATCAGATCATAGGAGACTAGCAAATTTCAGTTTAAAAGAAAATTAGGCAAGTTTGAAAATTAGGCAAGTTTAAACTATACGTAGTACTAGTATTATACGGAGTACTAGCAATACCGTACATATAAGCATACTGAAACGTAACTTTAATTTTAGTCAATTGATCGAGGAGTGAGCCACAGGACCCCAAATACTTTAATACGTAGTAAATTAATTTCAAAAAAATATACGTAGTATATACTATCGGACTACGTAGTGGTAGTATATGATACGGAGTAATAAAGTATATGATACGGAGTAATAAAGAGAATCTAGTAAAATTTAGACTATATTAGTTGATTCAGCTGAAATTTATAAAATTTTGAATTAAGTGAATTGATTTACTAATTCTAGATGAATTACTTATAGGACCATTTTAAATATTTTATTAACCACCTCCGTCTCACTACCATTAAGATATAGGATGGTGGTACGATTATTAAGAAAAGTGAATTATGTCGTAAATATTGAAATGATAATGTAAGAATAAAATAAAAATAATTTAGAACAACACAAAATTTACTAAATTTGGTATGTGACAATCTTAATGAGACAGACGGAAAAGAAAAGATGTGAGAGTAATATTTTCTATAATCTATTGATACAATATGGGGATGATTTGAGCCGTTTATAGATAGGGGCACATATTTCATTTTTTAACAAAGTATGACATGTGTTTCAACGTCGTTAGAAAAATTAACTCAAATTTTCAAAAGTTTCCGAAAAATTAAAAGAAAAATACTAGGAGGTGCGTCTCGTCAAGAAGACCTCCAGATCATCTTTTTTTTTGTTTCAATTCCAGCCACTTCTTTTAATTTTTCAGAAAATTTTAAAAAGCGGAGTTAGTTTTTTCTAAAAGCGTTAGACGTCATGCCTCAGCTGTGTTAACGGAATTGAAACATATGTTCCACTTGTTGAAAAATGAAACACGTGTCCCTATCTGAAAAACGACCCAAACTACAAGTATCTTTTATGTACTTTTACCTACAATATATTTTAAATATAATTTCCCTCATAATTCACCAAACTACTCCACTTCAACCTCATTTCATCAATTTCAGCCAATTTCGATGTTACCAAACGAGTCCTATATTTATGCATATAATTATTTATCATACTTATCAAACAAGTTTATTTGTGGGTTTTATTAAAATATTTTCCATTGCAATAAAATATTAACTACTAAATTAGTACTACCTCCGTCCCGATCAAAGCTTCTCGTTGAAAATGACAAATTGATTTAGACAATAATTAAATATAGTACTTTGATAGTTATATTTCATAATGAGGTCATTGATGATAACTATGATGTCATTATAGATGCGT